ATGAACACAATTTCCTCAACTGTACATAGCAACAATTTATCCAATTATCTCTGCACCATTACCTATACACTTCTGATTTAAACAGAGGAGTAACCATGTAGAGAGTGGAAAGTAAACAGATAATACATGTAAAAAATTTTAAGGGCCATGGAAATGGCCAAGAAACTGTATAAATGAATTTTATCACTATACATCCTTAATTAATTAGATACTATTTCACAACTGTTCATTTTGTGTGAAACTAATCCATAATTGGGCTTTCCAGGTGGCTTAGTGGTAAAGAACTGACCTGCCAATACAGGAGACTTGGGTTTGATCCCTGGGTCGGGAAGATCCCCTGGAGAAGGAAATGATAACCCACTCCAGTACTCTTGCCTGGGAAATCCCATGCACAGAGCCTGGTGGGTTACAGTCCATGGGGTCACAAAAGAGTCAGACACAACTGAGTGACTAAACAACAACAACCCATAATTAGTCCAATAAACTTTAATTAGAGGAATGATTCCTTGAGCTTACATCGTTTATTCTTTTTGAAGCTCTTTCATGTACATTTACTCATATAATCCTTGCAACAATCCTTTGAGGTAGGCAGAGTAGGGATTCTTATCCCCATGTGTTAATATTTTTGTTACGTTTCATTCTGTACAAATGACCAAATATTGATTTATAACTCATCCTAAGTATAGGTCTTTTTACTTAATTCTTATAGCTCACATAAGAATATAATGTATCTGAAATATTTACAGTAGAAGACCAACAAAGCCATAAGTACAGTAGAGTACATTCTTTTTAGTAGTCAAATAATAAACAAAAATCTAGTTGAAAGAAGAAGTTTTTTCAGGTTAAGTTCTCTTAATGATTAATACAGACCTTTGTTAAATTTCTGCTAGGAAATCCCTACAAAATGTTAATTTAATGAAAAATAAAATATTTTCAGCAAGTTTTTCTCTACTTCAGATTAATTTTATGGGAGAGATTTGGGGTCTTTAAGTTTCTCTGAAACATCAGTAATTGTTCATGAACCTACTCATGTGTTTTCTTTTCCTCAATCCAATAGTCAGTAATCTGGCAGAAGGAGAGCCTAACCACTGCCAAATAGAATTCCAATATTTAATGAGAAAATACATTCTTGATGCTTTAGCCAAAAATGCAAAGCCCCTTATTTAAGCTAATGGAATTAAAAAGAAGTCTCTAGTACCTAGTAATGGAATAAAGTTAAAGAAACATAATGAACAGACTTAAAAAAAAACCTCTCAATATAAAAGTTTTTATAACAAATGACATTTATAATTTTGTATGTAAAAAGTGTTTTGGGAATATAAATTAGAAACAAGAATCAGATTTTGAAGCAAGATCATGTTTAAATACTATTTGTTGTTGTTTGGTCACTTAAGTCTTGTCCGATTCTTCTGTGATCCCATGGACTGTAACCCACCAGGCTCCTCTGTCCATGGATTTCCCTGGCAAGAATACTGGAGTGGATTGCCATTTTCTTCTCTGGGAGATCTTTTCAACCCAGGGATTGAACCAACATCTCTTGCATTGGCAGCTGGATTCTTTACCGCTGAACCACCAGGGAAGCCCTTAAATATTATTACTTCAATTAGTTATACCCTAGTTGTTTTTTGAAAATTTAAATTCTTCTGGGAAGACAAAAGGGGGAAATAAAGTTTGGTTTATCTTGGGTTCTTATTCCTTATGTTTTTGAACCAGTATCCTTCTAATATTTATTCGTAAACCTAAAGTTAATAAGCATTATTGTTAACAAGCAGAGGCCCATGCAAAAGGTTTCTTATGCTATAGTCATTAGTTATGGTGCATATAGGGTCTTGGAAATATAAAATTAAACAGAATAAGATTGGGGGGAAAATCTAAATAGACCAAATCCTATACAAAGCTAAATGGCTAGGTTATGGAAGTATTTGTTACAAGCAAATTAGTAGTTTGTAGGAAAAGAAAACTAAGTCTGACTTTCATCTAGCCTTACCTACCTTAAGATTTTTATTTTAGTTATGGTTAGAGGCCAATATTGACCTTAGTGTGGATTTATGCAACTCTGAAAACCTTTAGAGACCTAAGGCCACCACAAGAATTTTCTTCGGTTCTTTTGTGCCACAGTTATTTTAAAATCTTCAGACCTAAAAAAGAATTCAGAACTGCTAGTTATTATGAGTTAGCGAGGCTGACCACTTCCAACTCTATCAGTTGTAGGTTAACTGCTTACATTTCACTGAAGATTTGGCTCTTTCTAGAAGTGCAGGTCTGCTCTGTACAACCTCAACTGATTGCTGTCACACTAGTGCTTATAAGTGAGACTTGAAATACTTAACCCTTTCACTGCTTGATTGGAGGATAGTTTAACGTGATCAATGTGTCCCTATTCTATTCTGAACTTGGCAGTGTAAGGGCTGAAGAATGATTTTCATTATCAAATTCAAAAGAGTACTATATGCAAGGAAATTTTGTTGAAAAGTCGTATCAGAAGAGACTTTCGTGATGTTACATCTTATGTCTTCACATTTTGGTAGCAGGAGAAAATACAGGACTGGATCCACAAAGAGTTATAAGGAGAAAAAAGGTGATGATTACAGTCATCTGCACAGAACAGTTTGATTTACAGGTTTCAGCCATTTAATTATTTCTGGATTTGGACCCCATACCACATCCCAGTCATTTTCAAACTATAGCCTCATCAGAACCACCTAGAGGGTTTTTTAAAACACTGATTGCTGGGTTACACCCCAGAGTTTCAGATTCACTAGGATCAGGCTGGTGCCAATTAATTCACTTTTTTTTCCCCTTTTTTTTGGCCACACCACGCAGCATGTGGGATCTTATTTACCCAACCAAGGATTGAATCCGCACCTCCTGCATTGGAAGTGCAGAGTCTTAACTGCCAGGGAAGTCCCAATAATTTGTATTTCTAACAAGTTCCTAGGTGATGCAGATGCTGCTGGTCCCCAGATCACACTTTGAGAATCACTAGGTATCCATACACCACACAGTTAGCCTACCTTTATTGTAATTATAATTTTAAAATGTTTAAATAGAAGTATAGCTGACTTACAATATTAGTTTCAAGTGTACAACACCATGATTCAATATTTTTATAGATTATACTCCATTTAGTTATTAAAAAACAATGGCTATATTCCCCTGTGCTGTATAATATTCCTTGCTGCTTATTTATTTTATACACACTGGTTTGTATCTCTTAATCCCATACCCCTGTCTTGCCCCTTACACCCTCCCTCTCCCCTAGTTTGTTCTCTATATCTCTTAGTCTGTTTCTGTTGTTATATACATTCATTTTATTTTTTAGATTCTACATGTGAGTGATATCATCCAGTGTTTTTCTTTCTCGACTTATGTCACTAAGTATAATACTCTCTAGGTCCATCTACATTGTTGCAAACTAGCCTACCAACTTCTAATAAGTATCACATTTACTCTATAATCTATAAGCAAACTACAAATGAAATAGTGAGAACATCATTAAAAAAATTTCTTTTTTTTTTGTTTGGTCATGCTACATGGCTTGCAGAATCTTAGCTCCCCAACCAGAGACTGCACCCTGGCCATAATGAAAGTACGGAGTCTTAACCACAGGACCACCATGGAACTCCCTAAAAGTATTTTTTAAATTATATCAGTTTTGAGCATGTTTATTTACCTTAATCTCCAAATAGGGGAAACAGGGGAATAAAGTTGATCTTAATTCTTGTTTAGATGTCCATTAAAATTTAGCAGTAATAGTGGCAAGTTAAAACTTCACAATTTAAAAAGTGTTCTAATCCTGTATAGGTATATAACAAGATAATTATAGGAGAAATAACATAATGTCTAGGATTTACTTTAAAATATATCAATAATAAATAAATTTTAAAAATAATGGGAGGGAGAGTCCTAGATGAAACAAGATTGGCAAAATGTTATTTGTTGAAGCTAAATGATGATTAGGAGGTTCATTATATTTTCATTTCTACTTTTATGTAAATTTGAAAATTTTTGTAAGAGAAAGCTTTGAAAATTCACATCTTCATCAATATTCATTGAAAAGTATAGTTGACATGTAAGAAATGTGGACTACATTTACAACAGTCTTATGGTATCTCAGGTAACAGTGGTAACAGTCAGGAATTTGATAATCAGTCACTATACAGATGGGGCTTCCCTGGTGGCTCAGTGGTAAAGAACCCACCTGCCAACGCAGGAGACATGGGTTCGATCCCTGGGTTGGGAAGATCCCATGGAGAAGGAAATGGCAACCCACTGCAGTATTCTTGCCTGGGAAATCCCATGGACGGAAGCCTGGTGGGCTACAGTCCATAGAGTCTGTAAAGAGTCAGACACAGCTTAGTAACTAAATCATATAGACTAGGCCTGAAATACAACTCTCAATTTAGGAACCTCCATTGTGGGTAGGAAGGGGTAGGGGAAATAGCACTTGAAATGCCCTTTTCTAAATTTCCCTCTCCCTTTGAGGAGCCTTTATTTCCTCACTTTTTTCCTAATTAATTTTTTATTGAAGGATAATTACAATTCCCCCTTTTTTTTTTTTTAAATTCCCTTGCTTTTTATCCTACCAGATTTGCTTGCAGTTTCTGAAATTCTGGGCAGCTGCTTCTGTAGACTCACAAAAATTCTTCTCTGCTGCCTGCCTCAAAGGGGTAGTGGCTTTTTAGGTCTCTTGCTTATTCAAGCCTTGTTAAGGTGACTATAGTATCTCTTGAGTCAACCAGGCCAATCTTTGTAGAGAGGGAGTTTCATATTTTTACACAAAACTAAAAATAAACTTCTCATGTACTTATAGAATGCTATAAACTAATGTGAAAGCAGATGTCTTTTTTTTAATATCACATGACTTGATGTGTACCTTAATGTCTGGCCCCATAATGGCATAGGATATATTTGGGAGGTTACATTTTAGTATTAATATTTTTAAGAGGGCTATTTTATTTTTTTCTGAGGACGTGAAACAAACACAAAGTAATAAGATATCATCTTAAAGAATAGTGCTTTATTGGATAAGTTTTTATTCACAGAAAAATAAGCTTTAATCTATGGTGACTGCAGATTATACAGTAGAAAGCAATTTTCTTAGTTTTCCATACTGATGGAAAGGTTTCTACTAAATGAAAACAGCCATAAAATTATATTCACAAATATAGTACTCTATCTCACACATTTCACGTGATTATTCACAACAGTATTACAACGACATAAGAGTCAGTCACTCTGTCAGGTTAGATATAAAGTATAAAGGTAATGCAAAATCTTCTAACAAAAATTACATTAAAGCCTTTGCTACATCAAATAAAAAGTGCAAATTTGTTGCTAAGTATAGACAGAATGACAAAATATACTTACATAGTAATTTTAAATGATACACAAACACAATGATACACAATTAATGATACACAAGAAGAATGTAGTAAATGAAACAAAATCTATATGCATTTCTGCAAACTTTAGACTTCAAAATAGAATCTTACCACCAAAACATTAATGCAGTATTGTACAATTTGAAGCCATATGTATTTAAGATTGTCCTACTGTATTAGTTATAAAGTGTCATTTAATATGTAGTGAATGTTATGGTATAGAACAAAGAATAGTTGAAAAAATAAACATTTGAGACCTCCCTAGAGAGGTAGCTTGAAGTTTTTCACCGTCAAAATATGTCCCAGTCTGGGCTATCACTAATTAGCTATGTAGCTTTGAACAAATCATTTCACCTTTGAGCCTCAGATGGTTCATCTTTGTATGGCAAAAACCACTACAATATTGTAAAGTAATTAGCCTCCAACTAATATAAATAAATGCCAAAAAAAAAGAAGAAAAGAAAAAAAAAGGGGGGGGATGAATTAGATACTCTCTAAGGTCACTTCTAGCTGACATCCTATGATTCTGTTATGCTGAAAGTGAAATGCACATTGTGCTAAGTCAAACTGGAACTGATTATAAAAGTGGGACTAAGCCAATTGTTCCTATTAGAAAAGCTCAACTAAATTTGATAATATTATTTCAAGTTTTTATAAAAGGAATTTAAATATTTTTAAGGATTTGACCTACTTGTGTAATTTGCATCTTAACTATGACAAACAATGAGAAAGATGAATTAAGAGTCAGTGAAAGAGTTATTATCTAAGTTTTAGCTCTAATTTCCAAAGTCAAGGCAAATCCATGGAAGGTAAAAAAGTGTCAGGAAGGGAATTAACATTTATAACAAGTATTTTACACATACGGTCTCCTTCAACCCTTATAATTTTGTAAGACAGGTACTATTTGCAAATCACAGATGAAGAAATGGTTACCTCTTTTCTTCTTTTCTAAACCAGATGTGGCTAAAAACCATATCTGTCAAATATTCCATCCCATTTTCTTCTTTGTCTAATGGAAATGATATACAACCTATCCTATTTCTCCAATCCCTCCACCCCTTTCCCCCATATTCAACCAACTGGGTAATCAGGAAATAAAACAATGATTTCAGTCTAAAGGGTACAATACGTGGAACTAATGCTGTGGTGGTAGTCTCCATTCAAAATACCAATTTTACCCACTAAAATGAAAACCAGGAAGAAAACTACCAACATTTAAGTGATAAAACAACAAAAGACTGTAATACACAGGGCCAAATCACATCACATACATTCACTACACCCACCCTACTCCATCTTAGCCCCTAACCCAAGGGAAAATAAACGAAAATCTAGGAGGGAAGGTAATACAAAGCCATTACTTAATAAACTTGAATTTATAAACACTAAACTCATTTCTCAAAAATTAAGACAAGGCTTTTGATCAGCACACCAGATTATTATGAATAAAGACAACTATTTATTATAAAACTTGACTCTTCACATGACTAAAATGTAGTAAAATAGGCGGTGCCTTTGAAATCTTAGAGTGAACTTTATACAGAAAAGGAAGTTTTGGGAAGGGGGAGGCTGAGATTTGGATCTGGCTGTATTTTTTTTTTCTGGCTGTATTTTTGACGTTGCAAGTGATCATTCTTTGCACAAAGAGATGGGAAGGATCCAGTGCTTTTCACAGTGCAAACACAGGCAAATATTGGTAAGTCTTTAAAAATTTGATTAGAAGTTGGAGCGCTGAGTGATTTAAGAACCTGAAGCAACAGCATTTCTAAACAATTCTTAAAATAAACTTGTTAGCCACATCAGCTTCATGCATTAAATTTCACAACTCATGGGGAGAAAAAAGGTCTTGCTTAAGTCTAAACATACAAGTTTTAAGAGTTTTAAAGAACTGAGGCTCCCAGAACTGGAAAACCTTATGTTAAAGCAATTCAGTCCTTGGACAACAACTAGATTGAACCAACTACCTGACTTGGAGCTGACGTGTCCTGGAAAACACATTTTTAAACCTTTAACACTTTTCTCCCCTTGTAATTTGTTTAAATTTAAAGCTTAGATTATACATATAAAATTTAACTTTTAATGAATATATAACTAAATCTAAGTTGAAGAAGGTGCAAAAGTAAAGAACTGAGGATTTACATAGTAAAACAAAAACAGGACGGTCATTATTTGACTTTAAAAATTCTCATTTAAATTTGTAATGCTTTAAATGAATATCAAAGTAGTAATTAACAGATGTTAAGAGAACGTAACAATACTCTTTCTCTTAGAAAATACAACAAAAATATAACTACTGACAGTTTTACTCTCAAACTTTTCTCTACAGTAAAATGCCTCACTCACCTCTACAACAGGTTGTTGTGAGGATCTTTGCCTGGGTGTTCTATGAGGCGTTTTTAAACTTTTATCTTTTTAACCTATATTGATTCTTACTCAAGCTTTATTTTCTCTTTAATATTCAAAAAACTATTCTTCTTTTCTTGTCAGTATTTTATAGTTTCCAAGAAGTTTTTAAGGATCTTGGGAGAACATTCCAGAAGTATCTGCTACTATTACTAGACAAGAAAACAAAAAGCTTAGGTGAAGACTTGACATTTTATCCTATATACATCTTAAGCATCCTAACGGTAAAAATTCACATGAAATTTAAGATACAAGATATGAGAATCTCAACATGGAAAGCTGTTACTATAACTACAAGCAGTGTACAAACATGCTTCTACTTTTACCTACATAAGCTGACAGATGTTTAAAATACTGGGTTAACAAAGATCTTTTAGTAAAGTGACTTAGGCAGGCTTAAACTAGCAAGGATTAAAGATGAATCCTTACTAATTAATTGGAAGATCTGAGACATATTTTATATTTCATTTTACAAAATCAGGAATATTTATTTTGAAACAAGAGAAGACATGGTCTACCTGTCAGAAAACTACCACTCAGAAATATTTTTCATCCACAAAGCAGGAAAAACATATAAACATTTAAATTTCACATTGGCACCAAAAAGGTTAACTGCCCTGCCTTCTTGGATTAGGAAAACTAAAGCTGAGCAATAAGTAGTTTTGCAGGCGTTTGAACATGCCTAAGCCTTTAAATCAGTAAAATACTTTCTAAAAATTTTGATTACAAAAGTAATAATACTTATAAAAAATTCAAACAGAACAAAATGAAAAAAGTAGAAAGTGAAAGGCCCTTATAAGCCCCTCTGGGTCCCATCCCCCCACCCCCTTTCAAGAGAAACCACATTTAACAGTTTGGTGCCTATCTTTCCAATCTTCTGTTCTATATGTATATAAAATACACACACCTTCACTTGGCTCATTCTACACATAGTGTTTTGCCACTTGATATACCTCTGATGTCTTTTTATGTCAGTACATGTAGGCTAAATGGTATTCAATCATTAAATACCCTTTTAACAATGGCAAAATCATTAAAAAAAATCATCCACCCAAGTACATGCATATAATTTAAAAGAAAATGGACAAAATCCTAAAACACAAACATCTAAAAATCATCTCCATCTTTCCACCAGTGTGGAACAGTTCACTCCTTTTTCACACAAAACAAATTATGTGATTGGGGAGATTAACTCTAATCTCCACATTCATACAGAACGCTCTATTTGTTAAGTCTATCCAAAATGAATGAAAAATTCAATTGATTAATTCACTTACATTTAGATAACTAAGTCAGTGTACTATAAAACACACATTGTGATCAGTTACAATATGATGCTTCTTAGTCTAGGGTTTCAATTAAATAACAGTGGGAAAAAAATAGAACAGCTAATACAGTTAACATCCTGAAAAATCCAGAAATTCAAATTTTAGACTGCCAACTATAACATCGCAGCTTACATTTCCTTCCTACTTTGCAGCAAATGCTAATGGAATTCAATGCTGATTTCTTCAAGTTGGTTTACATCACACATTCAATCAGGGTAATAAGAACATAAGACGCCTACTGTAGTTAGATTACGACATGAAAATTTTTTGCTTGAAAGTAATGACTGTGTAGCACATGGGACACTTGTCAACTGCTTCAGCACACTGTTTACAAGTGACCAGATGTCCACAAGGAATAAAGACGACAGCAATATTTCTATCCATACAGATTTTGCAAACCTTCTCCTCTTGCAGGAGCCTTAGCTGCTCTTCAGTACTAATGTCTGTACAAAGAGAAAAAAATGTGTTAATTTTAGACTTTCTGAGTTGGTTAAATTCACTGAAACAGTGTGAACCCCTACTATGTGCTGGACGCTGATCAAGTGTCAGGAGATGGGATAACTCACACATGGCATCTACTGTTAAGCAGTTCACAGGCTAGTGGGAGAGAAGGATGTGAGCTGAAGCTACAGGAGTAAGCACAAAGTACAGAGTGATAAGTGCTGTAATAAAGTTACAAAGTGCTCTGGGACAAGGCAACAGAACAAGTTCTGTTCAGGTTAGGTGGGGAAGGTTTCACAGGTTGGTGGCTATTGGGTGGGGAAGGGGGGAAATGGAAGAGTGACATTTAAAAACAGCAATTTGCTAAGCAGAGAAGCAAGGGTTAGGTAAAAGTAGCAGCATATTGAAAGGGCACGGCTTATTCCAGAAATGGAGAGATGGAAGTGGAGGGCCACTTGTGAAATGGGACAAGTAGGATTTAGTGATTAGATGTGAAGGGTGAAGAAGAAAGAGGAAATAAAGTTGATTTCAAGATTTCTAGCATGGCTGACAAGGGGATGGTAGTGCCAATAGGAAATAAAAATGGAGGTACAGGTTTGGGATTTTTAAGATATTTCTGAGGTGTTTGCAGGGCATCCATATAAAAATGTCCAGTAGGTGATCGGAGAGTTAAGTCTTAAGGTCAGAAGAAATCAGGGCTAAAGATAGAAACCTGGGCATCATCAATATACAGGTGGCACTGAAGTTCTTGTTTAATTCAGCCTTTGTCAAACTTAGTTTTGAGAAATGTTAACAAATGTGGCACAAGAATATGTTTCACAATCATATATAACTATGACAACAACATCAGCAATAGCAGCAGTTAAAAGTAATACAGCACTTCTACTATGTGCTAGGCATGGCTCCAAATGTATTACATATTTTAACAATCTTTGTGATCACTGTATACCAGTGGTTTCCAAATTTAGCTTCACTTGAGAATGACTAGGGGCATTAAAAAAAAAAAATAGATTCCTGGGCCCCATTCACTCAATCTAATATTTCTGGGGTTGAGCACACTGGCATTTCTGAACCATGGCTATCAAGTTGAGGGCAGTATAATAAAGCATATATGCCCTCTTAGAAATTCAAAATGCATTCCCTATTTAACTACAGAGCTCCTTTTTCATGACATCTCTTAACATTCTGGGGAACACTATTTTGAAAACAAGTTTGGAAAACAGTGGTTTAATTTTATTCAACAAATGCTTATGGAACACTTAGCTAGGTTCTAGGCATTAGAGATAGATTAACACATATATAGATTCTGGGCTCCTAATCTATTCATAGACAAGTCAGGAACACAAGCAGGCAGGAAATTATAATACAATGTAATGATTAAAGTAATTACAATATGTTATGAAGAATGTAGGAAGGCTGTGTATCCATGTATACAAACACAGAGGGAAGGCCTTCCAGAAAAAAATTATACCTAAATTGGGTCCTAAAGGATAAGTAGGAGCAAACTAAGAGAGGGAGAAGACCTTAGACCTTGAGGGACAAGAGCAGTGGGAGAAGAGGGCTCTGGGCAGAGGAAATGATATAGGGAGGTTCCAAGGAGAGAAACAGAATGAGGCCTGCAAGTGCACAGGTAAGGTTTGGGAAGAGAATGTAAAGGGGAAATAGCATGAGACTACAGCATGAGGCTAGAGAAGGTTAGCAGGAGCCTGGTCATGAAGGATCTGGTAACCCATGGAAAGGAGTTTGGACTTGACACCGAGGGCCCCAGAGCCGGTGAAAGGTTTTAACCTGGAAAAAGATACCAGAATTGCTTCAGTAAGGTTTTCTTGGCTAGTCATGGAGAAAAGGATTATTTGATCCCTTTTTTTCTTAAAAGGCAACCTCCTGGGCATAATTCAAAACTCAAATATGGAACATAGAGATAAGAAAGATAAACTGCCTGTCCTTAAGAAGCCTAACAGATAGGAGGGGACAGAAAAAGTTCCAAAACAACGTTACAAATGCTTTAACAGAGAGAGTAAAGAAGAGGACACTGCAAAGTGTGCTATGGGTCTTTGGGGAAACTTCAAAGAGTGACCTTTGAGCTGAGCCTTGAAGGACAAATTCAAGAAATGGGTATAGGGAATCAGGGGTGCAGTGGGGAATATTAGGTATACAAATAGGAAAAAGGCATTCGGGGCATAGCAAACAACAAAAGTAAAGGGATGGCATTATAAACTGATTTATATTATATGGATGCATCTGACCAAAAAAGTCAGAATAGTGTGTATTACTGCCATCACCAAGACTGTGGCAACCAGCGAAAGCCAGCCTGCCAGAGGAATATGGAAAAGCAGAGTGACTTGGTTAAGAGAAAACACTGAGATGACAAGCTTTTTGCTGTGGTCCACAAGCAGATCAGGCAGCAAAAGCTGAAAAAGGCAAATGAAAAGAAGCAACCCAAGTAACTTTGTGGCTTTTTGTCCAATCTTCTCTTGCTTTGCCTGTGTGCCTGGAGCCTGTCCCACTACACTTCCTCCTGTCATGCTCACAGCCCCCAGTACCCAGGCATTCCTTTTGCGAGTCCACAGCAGGTCTCTTTTGGGGTTCCCTCCTCTCAGGTAGTCTCTCTCCCCCAGGCCAGTCCTGGGGGTGAGGGGACCCCTTTGAAGTGTTTTATAAAACTACCTTTGTAATCCAAAAAAATCATGAAGAGGAAAATAATTAATTTACACATTACTTTTGCATGTGATGCTACAAAGAATAAAAAAGGACACTGGATCAGATACCTACAGTAGTCGAATTTACAGAGACAGAAAGCAGAATGGTGGCTGCTAGGGGAACGGGAAAATGGAAGCTGTTTAAAAGATAAAGAGTTTCAGTTTTGTAGATGAAAAGAGCTCTGGAGATTAACTGCACAACAATGTGAATGTACTTAAAACTACTGAACTGTACACTTAAAATGGCTCAGAGGGTAAATTTTATGTGTATTTATCTTTTTTTTGCCACACCACGTGACTTGTGGGATCTTACTTCCTGGACCAGGGATTGAACCTGGGTCCTTGGTACTAAAAGTGTCAAGTCCTAACCATAGGACCACCAGGGAATTACCCACAATTTAAAAAAAAAACACAAAAACACCACTGGACCATAAGTCAGGAAACCAGAATTTTACTCCCAACTATCTGCGTGATCTTGAGTAACAGTTCATCAGCACCTCAGTTTTCTCTGAAGTAATGAAAATTATTATAGGATATTTAAGGTTCCTTTGGTTTTGATTGGTTCTGATTGTTTACAGTTCCATATTACAGTGCATACAGACATTTACTTGAGATGGTGATGCTCTGGGCATTTTTTCCCAGACTAAGAGTTTTTACTTCACTCTAGCCTAAAGAGTAACCATTGGGTTCTACATCTTTTCCTGAGCCACCCTTCCCCCTCTACGTGCCACAAAACCCTCTTCTAGGTTGGGAGGTACCTGGCACATAGCAATAAAGGCAATAGCCAGATAATTTTTCATGGTATCTGCTAATATTTTTACTACATTACTATAAACCACTTGTAGAATAAACTGATGTTATTCATGTTCCAATCAGAGCAGATCTATGTGGAAAGACAGACTGATAAGAAATATGCATGGGTTATTTGAATTTTACATTACGTTCCATCATATATATGTAAGGATTAAAATAAGTGTCTTACCACACACATGAAGTAAAGGGCTTTATATCATACAATGTCATTTTTAAAAAGAAAGGGGAAAAGATACTAATTTGGTACTATCTTTACAACCCACTCCAGTACTCTTGCCTGGAAAATCCCATGGACGAAGGAGTCTGGTAGGCTACAGTCCATGGGGTCACAAAGAGTCGGACACGACTGAGCGACTTCACTTTAGAAGACTGGGGTATTCTCTGTTACAGAGACAATGGTATAAAAGCTAGTATTGAATCTAGGATTTCTTAGTGAGTAACATTATATTTTTTTCTAGTAAATTTCATCTGCTTTTACTTCAATTAGGCCCACCCTCTATTTTGTACAGAATTAAAAGATCTTAGTGCCAGTTTTCCTCATCAGCTTTTGGGAGGAAAAATAGACAGCAGCCCCCTCATGAAAAGCTTGCCTGTATCAATGACCTGCCTCTCAATTTTGTGAGACTAAGGAGACGTCAACTGATGAATTCTAACGTGTGCCCTTGAGAACTGGCATTAACTTAGGCCCTCTTTCCCACACGACCCCAGCTTGTAATCTCAGTAATGATGAGAACTTCCCACAAACTCCTGTTGAATAGAGACATCCCCCGATGCACCCTGTCCTTTGTTCTCTTCCTACTGCAACCCACTAAATCTTTCTGCTGTAAACACCTTCAGGTATAAAAATTAACACCTAACTGTCAAACTTAAATTAAGTTTGAGACTGGTGAAGATGCAGGGGAAAATGACACAGTCACTTGTATCACAAAGTAAATGATTTGTTTCACTATCGCCAAGACAAGAGGAGCTATTATAGGTTTTAAATTAATGTATCTTTTTTTTTAAATTAATGTATCTTTAAGGAAAAGAGTAGCCTGCTTTCTGCTGAATCTTCTACACCAACTAGAGTAATTTAAAACTCATCAATATTATACTGCTTTATGACTTATTTGATTATCTGAATAATGTTTCAAAAGCATCTGAAATAACTTAAAGATCAAAAGGGTCTTGAATGTAAAAAACAAAATAAGTGAACTTTTAAGTTCATTAGCACTTGGAGAATTCTCATTTTTTGGTAGAGGTGGTCAAAAGCTTAGAGAATGATTATATACTTCTACATTATTCAATACACTTTGTATATGAATCACAGTATTAAAATGCATTTAATTCAAGCTCTATTTAGCAGTATGACCCTTTTACATATTTATATCATGTGGAAAGTTACAAAATACTCTAAATCCAAGCAGTTTCAACTACAAAACTTAGAGTCTACACGCAATGATAAAAGTTAGCCCTTTGTTGTTCTTTACCTAAAATAGAGCATAAACTTACACTTTTAAAATTAATAGATCAGTAGATCTTATTTGGATCCTGATCAGAACAAATCAAATGTAAAAACATTTTAAGATGATGAGGAAAATTAAAATCAACTGAATTTCAGATGATATTATGGAATTACTGTTAATTCTGTTAAGTGTTACAATAGTATATCATGGGCTAAATGTCTTTCTCTCCAAAACTCACATTGAAGCCCTCACACCCTATGTGATGGTGCTTAGAGGTAGGGCCTTCGAAAGGTGATTTGGTTTACATGGGGTCATGATGATGGGACTCCATGATGGGATCAATGTTGAGGAAGAGAAAGCAGAATGCTATCTCTCTTGGCCAAGCGAGGACAGAGAAGGCAGCCATCTGCCAGCCTAGAAGAGAGTTTTCACCAGGAACCAAATCTACCTGCACCTTGGACTTCCCAGCTTCCAGAAGTATAAGAAACAAATGTCTGCTGTCTAAGCCACCCAGTCTATGGTACTGTTATAACAGTCTGAGCAGATTAACACACAGTATTAAGGTCATGTTAAAAAAAAAAAAGTCCCTAGTTATTGAAGTGTTTATAGGCAAATGGTATATAGGATGTCTGGGACTTACTCTGAAATACTACAGCAAAAAACAAAGTTGGGGGAAGAAAGGAAGCGAGACTGAAAAAGTGTTGACAATTATTGAAGCTGGCTGATGGGTATTTGAGGGTTCATTATACTGTTCTCTCCACTTTTGAGTATGTTTGACATCTTTCATAATAAAGTTTAAAAATTAAACATTTATCCAAGGGGAAATACGAGAGGAGGAAAATGCATGGGCCACATAGTCATATAAGATACTATCCATAATGAAATACTAGGTGTGTCTTGCTTTTACAACACAGGCATGCATACCTTTCTGTAATGAAGTCTGACTTGATTCATCTTGTGTATTGTCTTTCTGAGCATTCACTAGATCTGCAACCAGAACCTCAAGTGATTTATAGTTGCTCCCAGATGTCTGAATTTTCCCCTCCATTGTTTTCTTAATGTCCTTGAAACTGAATCCCATTCGTATAGCTTCTTGTACCATAGGATTTTGGAATATTGTATCATCTGAAATGAAAATTGGTAAGGAAAAAAATCACAGACTTTATTTTCATTAACACAACTCAATAGCAGAGTATCATTAAGAAGAAAAACTTAAGCAACAAGCAAAAAAATCAAAACCAAACCAGCAAACCAAAGCTGCTTTGGGAAGAGGATTTAGAAATATTTAGGCACTGAAGAATCACTTTCAGATTCTTAAAATAGTTGAAAGTACAATGAGTATGTATTTGCAGTATTAGGAATTGAGATTAGGTGCTTTAAAGACTATGATAAAAAGTACAAGACAAGGTAAAACAGGTACAAAAAGGGTTAAGTGCTTCAAAAATTCTGAAACTGTGGACCTCTTTACCAAGTCACCACAATTATCATGGGAAATAGAAGTTCCAGTCTGTGACCTTCAATGTATCAGTTTCCTATATCTCAGACTTAGTTTCTGCAGTTGAGTGGGTAGACTAGATAAGGCAAGAAACCTAATACAAACTCACTTTAATGACGCTCAAGGTAGGACTACAGATGGTGATGGTGGTGGTGGTGGTGGTGGTGGTGGTGTTTAGTCGCTAAGTCGTGTCCGCTCTTTGCGACCCCATGGACTGCAGCCTGCCAGGCTCCTCTGTCCATGGGATTTCCCAGGCAAAAATACTGGAGTGAGTTGCCATGCCCTTCTCCAGGGGACCTTCCTGAGCCACGGATCCAACCTGCATCTCCTGCATTGGCAGGTGGATTCTTTACCACTGAGCCACCTGGGAAGAGCTTAGTAGAACTCTTGGCCTTCCAATTCCTAGGTGTAAATCAAAGGAAATACTTCTAGTTCCAGGAGGAGACAGTCTCTCTGCTTTGACTTCATGCCTTTGTTCACTCTCCTCCTGGGCAAAGTTCTTAAATCTTTTGTCTGCCTGATGAATACTAATCTTACCAGATTGTGTAGTGATGTGCTAAAAGAGACTTCTATCCTCTGACTCATCACTTTCACTCTTGGGTATTTTTTTTTCCTTTTTTCTTTTCCAAGCTGTGCAGCTTGAAGGATCTTAGTTTCCTGATCAGGGATTGAACATGCCCTCCTCCCTCCCCCACCCCCCAGCAGTGAAAGTGCCAAGTCCTAACCACTAGGCCTTCAGGAATTCCCCACTCTTCAGTATTAAAAATGAGTACATATACCCACAAAAGACATACACAAGAATATTCATAGCAGTGTTATTTATAACAGCCCCAAACTGGAAACAACTCAAGTGTCATTTATCAGGTGAACGGATAAGTAAATTGTGGTATATTCAAATACTAAACAGCAAGGAAGAAGAATGAACTACTGCCACAGACAACATGGATCAATCACATAGACATGATAAGCAAAACATCAACATAATGATGAACCAGAGACAATGGAGTACATATTGTATGATTACATTTTTAAGATGCTCAAATCTAATCTATGGTAATAGAAGTCAGGACATAACTTGAGGGTAAATATCAATTGTGAAGGGGCCTGAAGGAGCTTTCCAGGGTGGTAGAGATGTTCTGTATCTTGATCTGGGTGATGGTTAGATGAACCTCTCCCTCATACCATATACAAAATATTAACTCAAAATGGATCACAGACCTGAATGTTAAGAGCTAAAAGCATAAAACTCTTAAGGACACTAACAAGAAAGTGAAAAGACAACCCATGGAATCGGAGAAAATATTTGCAAATCATATACTTGACATGGGACTTATATGTATAAAAAACTAGGGGAGGTAATGGAATTCCAGTTGAGCTATTTCAAATCCTGAAAGATGATGCTGTGAAAGTGCTGCACTCAATATGCCAGCAAATTTGGAAAACTCAGCAGTGGCCACAGGACTGGAAAAGGTCAGTTTTCGTTCCAATCCCAAAGAAAGTCACTGCCAAAGAATGCTCAAACTATTGCACAATTGCAGTCATCTCACAGGCTAGTAAAGTAATGCTTAAAATTCTCCAAGCCAGGCTTCAGCAATACGTGAACCGTGAACTTCCAGATGTTCAAGCTGGTTTTAGAAAAGGCAGAGGAACCAGAGATCAAATTGCCAACATCCGCTGGATCATCGAAAAAGCAAGAGAGTTCCAGAAAAACATCTATTTCTGCTTTATTGACTATGCCAAAGCCTTTGACTGTGTGGATCACAATGAACTGTGGAAAATTCTTAAAGAGATGGGCATACCAGGCCACCTGCCCTGCCTCTTGAGAAACCTGTATGCAGGTCAGGAAGCAACAGTTAGAACTGGACATGGAACAACAGACTGGTTCTAAAGAGGAAAAGGAGTACGTCAAGGCAGTATATTATCATCCTGCTTATTTAACTGCTATGCAGAGTACATCATGAGAAACGCCAGGCTGGAAGAAGCACAAGCTGGAATCAAGACTGGCGGGAGAAATATCAATAACCTCAGATATGCAGATGACACCATCCTTATGGCAGAAAGTAAGGAACAACTAAAGAGCCTCACGATGAAAGTGAAAGAGGAGAGTGAAAAAGTTGGCTTAAAGCTCAACATTCAGAAAACTAAGATCATGGCATCCGGTCCCATCACTTCATGGCAGATAGATGGGGAAACAGTGGAAACAGTAGCTGACTTTATTTTTCTGGGCTCCAAATTCACTGCACATGGTGACTGCAGCCATGAAATTAAAAGACGCTTACAATACATGTAAAAACCATGGCTGATTCATGTCAATGTATGACAAAACCCACTACAATACTGTAAAGTAATTAGCCTCCAACTAATAAAAATAAACAAAAAAAAATAAAATAAAAGACGCTTACCTTGGAAGGAAAGTTTTGACCAACCTAGAGAGCATACTGAAAAGCAGAGACATTACTTTGCCAACAAAGGTCTGTCTAGTCAAGGCTATGGTTTTTCCAGTGGTCATGTATGGTGGTGAGAGTTGGACAATAAAGAAAGCTGAGTGTCAAAGAATTGATGCTTTTAAACTGTGGTGTTGGAGAAGACTGTTGAGAGTCCCTTGGACTGCAAGGAGATCCAACCAGTCCATCCTAAAGGAGATAAGTCCTGGGTGTTCATTGGAGGGACTGATGTTGAAGCTGAAACTCCAGTACTTTGGCCACCTGATGCGAAGAGCTGACTCATTTGAAAAGACCCTGATGCTGGGAAAGATTGAAGGCAGGAGGAGAAGGGGACGACAGAGGATGAGATGGTTGGATGGGATCATCGACTCGATGGACATGGGTTTGGGTGGATTCTGGGAGCTGGTGATGGACAGGGAGGCCTGGCGTGCTGTGCTTCATGAAGTCACAAAGAGTCAGACTTGACTGAGCGACTGAACTGAAATGTACAGGCACTTCATTAATTCTTAAGTTTATAGCAATCTTCTCTCAAAGAAAAATACCTTGAAAAAATCGGCTTACCTTTTTACCTTATAAATAATAACTGTAATAAATTGGCAATGAAATTAAAATATTTTAAAAAGGATATTTACCAATTCTTTTAGTTAACAATGGTGCATTTTCAGCAGTTCCCACCTGAAATACAAATAAGAATTATAAGTTAGAATTCTTTTTGGTAGAAGGCAATTACCTCAATTTGAAAAATTATGTTTATCATGAATTTATAAATTAGCTTTATTCCAATTCAACATATGAATATTCACAAGAGGCATAGCCTGATGAAGCTGGAAGTTAAAAGATTCCAGTCCACTCACTTTACAGACAAGAAGCTGAGGCTCAGGAAGATTAAACAGTTCATGGCAGGGCCATAATGGCAACTCTTGTGTCCCATTCTAGTCCAGGGCTCTTTCCACAAAGTACTGATGCCTTAGCCACCCCAGGCCACACTATCAATTTAGGTATGTTTTTGAGATTTTAAATGCTGTCTGTGAAAAGTTAAAAACTATCAGTACAAAACACATTATACAAGTCTAATTTCAGAAGGCTGAGGGATTTAAGTGTTTTAGTTCTTCAAGTCCGTTTTCGCCTACAGTGATACTTAATTCGGTTCATCCTGATCTCCTTTTCACAAATTTGCTTCAGCTTGAGAAAAACAAGCACTCTTCAAGATCTCCCATTTAGGTTCATCATACATTATTAATTTGAAATACTATACTGTGAATTTTACACCAAGAAATGCTCAAAACAAATTACATAATATTTGAAAATGTGTATTCTACAATATGTGACTTACCAGAGACTCCTCAATTGAATGGGTTAAATGAATATTGTTTACATATTCTTGTCCCTTCTCTTCTAACAGATATTTACAGCTAAACAAATAAAAGAAGGTTAAACTTTAGTAGCTCATCAATTAGTAAAGTATAAGTAAAGATAGAATCTTCATCATCTTAATTCCATTAACTTGCTTTTTTATATTTCTAAAGATCCACAAAATAAAATGCTACTCAATTCACTATCCAACTATCATTTTAATGTTAAAAAATGTTCCCTTTGTTATCCTAATATGCTAATGTTCAGTTCAGTTCAGTCACTCAGTCGTGACTCTTTGCGACCTCATGAATCGCAGCACGCCAGGCCTCCCTGATCATCACCAACTCCCGGAGTTTACTCAAACTCATGTCCATCCAGTGGGTGATGCCATCCAGCCATCTCATCCTCTGTCGTCCCCTTTCTCCTCCTGCCCCCAATCCCTCCCAGCATCAGGGTCTTTTCCAATGAGTTAGCTCTTCACATCAGGTGGCCAAAGTATTGGAGTTTCAGCATCAGCATCAGTCCTTCCAATGAACACCCAGGACTGATCTCCTTTAGGATGGACTGGTTGGATCTCCTTGCTAATATTAGTAGAGCAAAAATATCAACTTGAGAACGTTCAGCTTTTAAAACAAGTTATTAAACTAGCACCTTGACATTTAAAAACAAGTCTTAAATAGTTCATCTTAATGAGTTTAATTTAGAGATTAACCAATTATACATTTTAAAGGAATCTTTTAGGCTTTCAGCCTTTCAAGAGTGTTTAAGGTTAAGACTTACTTCCAAATCATTCTGAAGTTTTAAGTTGTACTATTTTATAGGCCAAAAATTCACATCACTGTACACTACACATCTGTGTGCCTTAAAGAGGCAAGATGGCAGAGACACTTAGAATATGCCATCATTCTAAGATGCCACTGACCATAAGCAGCATGATTATACTATGTGTAATATGCATACATGTATACTACTATACTGTGTATCACCACTGCCAATTAAATTATGACCCACCACCAGATGTGTCCTGACTTCAGAGCTGAAAATGTGAACAACTATATGTCTTAGAATCAGTGATATTAAGTAATATTTGCTAGGGGGTGTGATGGGTTCTTAAGGAATCTCCTTGATAACATGGGCTCTCATGCCCATCATTAAAGAGCCTACTTCCAACAACAATAAAAGCATATATTCCTAATTTTGTGTTTAGAAATAGCATCATCTGTGCATAAGACAAATGCTCGGGGCTGGTGCACTGGGATGACCCACTGGGATGGGGAGGGAGGTGGGAGGGGGGTTCAGGATGGGGAACACATGTAAATCCATGGCTGATTCATGTCAATGTATGGCAAAAACCACTACAATATTGTAAAGTAATTAGCCTCCAACTTAATAAAAATAATTGGGAAGAAAAAAAATAGCATTATCTGAATGTCACAGGTATGATATATAAATGATGAATGTTTTGGTCACTGGAAAAGGCTTAGGTGTTTTTTTTAATGTATATAAAGTAGTTGACCCCGTTTTTATAAACATGGTGTGAATTTCAAGCCATTGGTGAAGGTAAAAATAGTTGAGGTGAAAAGTTATTCAAGTCTTCCCACTGCACATGCACTGGCCAACCTGCCTGTCACTGAATGAACATTTAAATATCTTACCCTGGAAACCACTTAGCATGTTGTTCCCAAGGGTCTTCAGTGGGTTTCCAATCAGTTAGCCCTCCTCCACAGTGAAAACACTTTACCTTATCACCTTCACCTAAGAAACACACAAGTAGAAACACATGTATTTGTGCAATTACAACCTTACACAAGAATAGCCTTTTAAATACTATCAAATTAAGCATTTCTAAATTACATGAAAAGCTCACACCTTAAAAGAAGACATCTGAATTCACATCTAAGTAATAGATAAGATCATTTGAGGAGGAAACACACACTAAATTTACTGATTCAATTTGAGGTATCTTATAGGAGGCTTCCCTTGTAGCTCAGTCAGTAAAGTATCTGCCTGCAGTGCAGGAGACCCGGGTTCGATCCCTGGGTTGGGAAGATCCCCTGGAGAAGGAAATGGCAGCCTACTCCAGGATCCTTGCCTGGAAAATCTCATGGACAGAGGAGCCTGGTGGGCTGCAGTCCATGGGGTCACAAAGAGTGGGGCACGACTGAGCGACTAACACTTACAGGAGACAAAAATAAAATTTTCCCAATTTTTATGTAAAAACTTTGTAATTACTTTATTAACAACATGTCATTTGGGGTCATCAATACTACACTTACTTTTTCAAACTATAGAACTTTAACAATAAAGTTGAATATAATGAAATTACAGGATAAATTTCTCTAAGGTTATAGCTATATGACAATATACTTTCAAGACTGTCATATGATACTAAGTAAATAAAATATAGAAATAATCCATATTTTGGTTTGGGGCATTATTCAATTTTAAAGTAAATGGGTTAGATATATAATGGTATAATTTTTCTGAATATTCCTGGAAGCCATCACACTGATGGCCTTTCCTTCCCTACTTACATGTCTGTGCTCACTCAGTCATGTCTGACTCTTTGCGACCCCATGAACTGTAGCCCACCAGGCTCTTCTGTAAAAAGCCTGGGATTTTCCAGGCAAGAATACTGGAGTGGGTTGCCATTTCCTTCTCCAACTGACATGTCTACAGCAGTCCATTTGAAAAGTGCTCATTTTAAGCAATAAGACATCTTTCAAATATATAGGGCTGCTTTCAAGTATATAGTCTATGTACAAAAGGCAGGTATCACTTTTAACATCAGCCAAGGTAAACTCTCTACTGTTAACTCTTCTTACAGGGCTGTTGTGAGGCACAGAGAAAAGGCATGTAATACATCTACTGAGCACATACAGGTGTACAATAAATTATAGTATTACTATCAGACCTATTCTTCTAGCAGGGATATCTATCATCTTTTGCATGTCATTCTTCTCCAAAAGACAGTTACACAAAGGTACATATTACTCATAATATGGTAGTCTTTTCCACATAAATTCCTGTGGTATATTACAGATTCAACATAAGAGTTCACAGAATACTAACATAAATTAACCATGCCAGCTTACACCTAAATATTACCAGTTCGGGGGGCAAATGGCACCTATTTACTTTTTAGGAGCCCTGAGACAGTTGGAAAGTTATTAGCCTAGTTTTATAATAAAGTTTACCTAAAGCATAAAATCCAGCTCTTGCAAGCTGCTCCTTGTTAATTGAGTACATCCACGTCCCAAATGTAATGATCCGTGCTTCGTAATCTGCCATGGCTGGATTTCTTGGAGCATTTGTTGAATTTGGGAAATTCCTATCAGAACTCATGATATCGGATTCACTTTGCATATTCATATTCCGGCCCAAAACAAAGAAGCAATTAGGAAAATGTCGCCTGTGTTCTGACCATGCACGATCACAAGGTTCCCAATTTTTCAACTTCCCACCACAACAAAAGCACTGTACTTGATCGTCAATACCTGTGTAGTAGAGTCCAGCACGAGCTAACTCTCTTGGGGTTAAGTGGGCATAGTTTGGCCAGTTCTGAAATGACTTTAATCTAGCTTCTTCACTACACATGGCAGGGTTCCTTGGGTATACGGTGTCTGATAAATCTACAACCTGTCCAGTTCTCAAAAGATACTGTGCATGAGTCTCATGTGGCCTTTCTAAAACAAAATGATTTCTGTTTCCCAGATAGTTTTCAGCTTTGTACTGACCATTTTGGACACCAGAAAATGTAGGCTGTGCAGCATTGTTTTCAAAATAAAAGCCATTGATAAATCTGCAGTTTGGGGATACTTTCCTGTGTCTTCCAATTGCTGAGTCTCCATATTGCCATCTATCTACTGCTGCATGACAACTAAAGCACCGCACGGTGTCTCCTTCCCCAGTATACAGAAAACCAGCTCGTGCTAGCGTTGATGCTGAAACAGGACTACTACTTGGAAAATTAGCAAAAGTTTTTAATCTATTAAACTCTTCTACAAATTCTTCATCGTTATTGATGTCTGCAGGTACACAAGTTTTAGATCCTTCAAAATTGTTAAAAGTCATCTTCTCTTGAAAATAGGACTTGTCCACCTTTTCTAAAAAGAGAACATTACATTAGGAAATCTAAAATGTGAAACATAGGCAATATACTTTTGATTATTAGGAGCTAACAAATTATCCACTAATGACTTAAAAGTAATCACACCATCTCTAAGAAACATTATAAATACTAGAATTCTATGAATACATTATCACATGATTCAGGTCATAAAGTAAAACCCAGCATTTTTGTTTTCTCTTTTAAAGGAAAGTAATATTTAAACAAGTAGATCAGAACTATTCATTTTATAGTGCTTATTTTATATAAACACGAAACTATGTGATGCAGAATGTTGAAATTATTAACCATGTAAAATCATTAATTAGGAAAAACATGAAAGAAGCATAAAATATGCAGATTCTTAAGTCTATGCATAATTGTTATAATGAATCACTGTATATTCAAGGCATCAAAATTCAGTTTTTACAATGAAAAAAATGCTCAGAATGTTAATGAATTAATTTTTAATATTTCTCTACTGCTTTGCAAAAGATAAGTTTTACTCACAACATTGGTTCCAATGTGCTCTTTAAGAGCATCAAGTGTTTATGATTTTCAGGTAAAATAAGAGTCCACTTCTGTTGGAACTGGATCATTTCAAATGTATGTAACAGTGCCCTCTAGAGGGTGATTCACAAAAAATACTAAACACGCGTAGACCTTAATTGCAGTTACTTTTGCTATCAATTGCCCACGGACAAGGAACAATCTGTTCAAATGGAAAAGAAATACGACTGCAGCCTCATTAGAGCTGCCAAATTACAGCTCTGTAATATTTAACCAAGATAAAATACTAAAGTGAACTGGTTGGGTTATGAGAAGAGTGGCCAAAATAATTTAACTCTTAAAAGTGAATGATGTTACTAGTAATTACATTGGGACAAGAGGTACAGATCAGAGTTGCCCCAGGCAAACCTGGTTCTTCAGAATCTCACTTTATTCATGACACAGTGCTCTGTATATGCCTGTCAAAGGCAAAATAAAGGAATGGTCACAATGACTGTTTCTACTTCATATACTGATTTCTTGGGAAGAACTAACAGCTCTTTTGGCATTATGTTGGCACAGTATGTTTTGAACTTCATCTCTCTTGGAGTTAATGTTCAACACAAGGCTTCTGTCTTGCAGGCTGGCAGTGGACTTCAGTCCTCCTGGACTTAATTTACACTGGCACTAATTCATACAGGGCTTCCCTGGTAGCTCAGACAGTAAAGAATCTGTTTGCAATGCAGGAGACCTGGGTTTGATCCCTGGGTCTGGAAGATATTATATTAATTCATATACACCTCAAGAGCTGAGATATATGTGCATACAACAATTTTTGGAAGATAGTCTCCACGACTTTTGATTGTTTCCCAGATAGCTTTAAGACTCTTAAATCAGCATAAGCTTGACAATAAAAATCAAAATTCAAATAAACTAAGGGAAGCTGACAGGCTAATGAGATAAAATTGGGATATGTGTAAAGCCCTACATTCTGACTTTAAAAATCTGTTGTACGCCTAAATGAAGATGGAATCCTGGTTTGGAAAGAAGTCATATGAAGGGAAATCTCCAGATTAAAATCTTGGGATTTTAGTTAATTAAAAATTCATCATGAGCCAACATTACATGGCAGCTAAAACACTTGAAACAACTTCAGTCTGCATTCATGTCCAGATGTGCAACATTCAGATTCAATTCAGCTATATACTGAGTATTATTTTTAGTTCTGAACATTTTAGAAGGGACATTAACAAAGTACAACATCCATAGAGAGCAATCAAGATGATGAAAGTGGTATCCTATGAGGAATAGTTGGAAGAGTCAAGTATTTATCTCCAAGGGAAAAGAAAATTGTAGGGAGAGCAGTGGAGAGGACAGAATAACTACCTTGAGAGATCTAAAAGGCTGTCATGTAGAAAAGGGATCCAAATTCTATTTACCTTGAGGGCAAAATTAGAGTTAGCTAATATGTATTACAGTCAATACATTTTAACCCAGTACAGGGATGGATGAATAGTTACAACAATCAATATCAGTATAAAATGGACTGGGTTGCCTTGTAGATTTTGAGTTCCTCTCATCACTGGAAGGGACTCTGGCATGGACCAGGAGACAGAATTAGGCATTTCTAAGTCTATAATTATCCTGAAGAATTAATGCTGAATACAATCTCAGACATATGAAAGTTATCTTCTCTGAGGTGGTAAATTTTGTTTCTCAGGTCAGTCAAAACAGACAGAAATGTAAAACCAATGATCTATTTTCATTTCATAATGGTGAATATTTTGTGTGGTTCAAGTAGTCATCCTGTTTCAGATACTATTAGATAAAGCTCCATCATTCAACACCAGCAGGAGAATTTCTATTTGAAGCTTTTAAGTGGAGACCTTATCTTCCCAGGGGTTATTTCCTTGCTAATAGTTTAGATTTCTCTTGTTTGAGAAGCAGGTATTTATTCAGAGCCACTCAACTGAACACTGCATATACATTATCAGAGTGGGGGCTTTGGTAGAAGAGTGAGAAAACCACTACCAGAAAGGTTAAGAGTTAAAAAGGAGAAAAACTGTTTGACAAAAGACAGAAACCTTGAGATTGGGAAAAAGTACCAAAAGAAAGGGAAGAGAGATGATTTTTAAAAACTGGATTTAAGTGAAATGAAGGTGGGAAAGATGATATTTAGAAAATAAGTATATGTGGAGCAGAGGAATTGTGAATAGAGAGAAAGTGAGGTATGAATGAGAAGGTTTTGGATGTGAAAAGGGCTGAGTGCAATAAAGTATGCTGAGATAATTTAAGGCTTCTTTGTGAAGCAAAATTTGACTCTGAACTGGGTAAGCAGAAAGTAAGAAGGCACTCTTACTTTCTCTCTTACACAGAGAGAAAGATGTCCAAGAAAGCTTTGACATAAAGGGGCTAGGCAGTCAGGAACCTTGAAGAAACAGTGGTTAAGAAAAATGGCACTCTGAAAGCCAACATTAGCATAAAAAGAATCAGCAGGCAGTGGTATATGTTTATACAAGGGGTATAGAAGATTTCAACATGGTGAGATGTGTTTAAAATATACATACACCTATACATATACATACACAAAATACACATATATATACCTGTACATACATAAAATAGACATATACCCGTACATATACATGTGTGCACACATATGTACACAAACATAAACATGTATATTATATGTATGCATATTTATACACATATACATATATATATATTTAGCCTATCAACTGGGTAAAGACAGCCATAGGCATGCGCCAAAGAGAGGAGACTGACTGCTACTCTAGCAATAATGTGGGACTATGGGGAGTTGGAGAGGAGGGAAAAACAGAAAACCTACCTACCTGGTATCTGCACACAATACAAGAGTTTCTATTTCCCTAAGTTTTTTATTATTAAAGTTGTCAAATATACAGAATAAAGGTTATTTTACACAGGTAAAGGATATAAAGTAGGATGTATATCAGACTGCAGCTGTGCAAAAATACATACTCATGAACAACACCTGGAGGTAATTTTTAATATATGCATAAAATATTTTAAGGTGATCTTTTTCTCCAAAATGTATCCGATAATATTTTCGCCTAACTTCTCTCTGGTTGGCACCACAGGCCTGGTTGCGGGGGACGCAGCCGAGAGAAAAGAGGCAGATGGGTTGGTTGCCCCCTCATCGCCCTCCGCCAGGGCTCTGCACCCACCAAAGCAGAGGGAGGGAGGACGGAGTGGTGCCTCCAGCCACCGCAGAGACGGGCGGCCCCAGCCGCCCTGTGCAGCCCAGCACTGAGACCCAAGCCTCCTCTGCAGGTGCCTCTGGTGAGTGGCGGACTCCTGGCTGCAGCTCCTGCACTCAGCCTGACCACAGCCGCCCAGGCAGCCTGGAGAAGAGCAGGCTGGCACCAAATTTTGTCAGTTTTCAACACAAAGAGCAAAACTTGGACATTTTGTGGAGTTTCATGGATTACTGCAACATGTTCTTAAGATACCTAATGATGACATTTTATTAGCCTATACCAGGGAGACTTACCATCTATATATAAAGATGATAATTATCACAAAGCTATTTCAACAACCAACCTGCTGCTTAGGATTTTTATACAGAAAAACGGAAAGAAGCAAACAGTGCCTTTGGCACTGACATGCTAATGAAGAAGGAAAATGTTTTAACGCATGTTCCATCAACCAAAGAAAAAAGCCAGATCTAGTCATTGGTATGCACCAAGACTTAAGATGTACTTCCATTACAGATGTGGATATTCCCCCAGAAACACATCATAGGACTACTGCATCTTTATAAACACAACACTGACCATTCTCTGGTGCTCTATAGTTGGGATGGTTTGAGCCTAAAGGAGAAACTATATGGCTTAGAGTGGGTCCCATGGATCGTTATACCCTGGCTTATTCCAGGTCTGGCTCACAGCACAGGACTATCACCTGCTAATGACGTTTTAGGTTAGTGGTATAGAAGCTTCAGAGAAGAGCTTTATTTTTTTAATTTTATTGAAGTATAGTTGATTTACAATGTCGTGTTAGTCTCAGATGTACAGCACAATGATTCAGGTTTTTCTTTTTGGCTACATGGTACATGGGACCTTAGTTCCCTGACCAGGGATCGAACCAGTGCCCCCTGCAGTGGCAGCATGGAGTCCTAACCACTGGACTGCAAGGGAATTCCCCAGCAAAGAGTTTTGATCAAATAACAGGATGACTGCAAACAGTCACAACTTCATCGTAATAGCAAGATAAGTAAACAGGAGAACAATGTTAGGAACAGTAGGACTTCTGGCAGCTCTGGCCAATTTACTTGTAATAGCTTTCTTGGCTATCCACAGCAGATTGAACCAAAACACTGAGCCAAACGATGAAGACATTATTATTGAAGATAGTGGTGTACCACGCTAGATTCCTAAAGCTGTTCTTATTATTGAAAGCCTGGAAATGGTTAACCCAAATAGAACAAATTCAGTTTTGAGTTTGGACAGAATGGTTTTATTCCTTCTAATTAAATGAGTTTAGCACTCCTAGAAAGTGGTGCGAACAGAATTTGAAACACATGTTCCAGATCAAAAACTTATAAGATGGAACATCATGAAACCATCATTTGAATGCTGAATGTTTTCTGAGTGAGGATGTCTGAGGACTTGTAAATTTGGCTAATTTAAGAATGTTTAGACCTCTGAGCCAATGACCTGGAAAAGGCATGAGAACAATAATGTAGG